CCTGGGGCTAGTCAAGAATATAAATTCAAAGGCAAAACCCATGGCATTCAATCATATAAATACCCATCAGTGAGGCATGTCATGAAACTTTAATAACTGTGTTCAAGATCAAAGTCTTGTTACTCATGAGTGGAGAAGCCAAGTGGGAATTAAGGAGGTCTTCCTTCAACAAATGATGACCAACCAACTCCCTGAACTCAGCCAAGTGTTCCCCTGTGTTTATACACACAATCACCCCACGCCCCTTAAACACACGTAAGCGTGTGAGTTTGCGGTTGTGCCTGTAGAACAATTCTGCTGGGTGGAGGTTACAAAAATGCAAAGCATGTTAATGCCTCGGGAGGGCAGATCCTGGCAGAGGGTGGGCAGAGCATCCTTAGAGACTTCGTGCCTTATAGGCTGCCACCCTGAGGCCCGGGCCCTGGGCAGTGGACTCAGAGCGCAGCTTGGGTATGTCCTGATACCTATACCCTCCCCTTGACTATTTTCTTTTTCTTCTTAAAAACATTTTATTTTAAAGAGAATAAAACAAAATAAAGCAGAATAAAGCCAATCAAAACAAAATAGTGAATGTGATATGGGATTTCAAAACAGGAAATCAACAATGGTTACAATACCTCTTATTACCTTCAAAATTGCTGCCCATAACATCAGACATAATAAAATCAAACAAAACAGAACAGAATAAAACCAAGCAAAACAAAACACTGAAGAAAACAAAGTAACGAAATGGGACACAAAATAGTGAGAACAATATTGAATTTTAAAAACAAGACAGAAGGAAATTACCCATAGTTGCTATATTGCAGAATGTTAACTTCTAAATAGATGCTCAGACTACTGGTTTTAGGCCTGCAAAGTCAATCAAATAATACAGGCATTAAATTGTTTTTGTACCTCAGTTGCTATCAACTCAGCCTGTGTTCCTCTGAATCAGATGGTTGCCCAAGGGGACGGAGGTGGACGGGGGGCCTCTTCTTGTCTCCCAGCCCACACTGGCTGGCTCATGGGAAGGGCAAATTGGCTTCTTGTTTCTCCTCCTGGCCCGGCATAACTGCTGCTGGCTTGTGGGAAGGGCGAATTGGCCCTCTTGACTATTTTCCAACTTAGGTATACAGCGATCTAAAACATTAGCCACTTGCTCTACTCCAGACCTAGGGAGACAAGCAGTGAGACGACAGCCGGAGTTTTCCTCAGCTTCTGTTTTGAGAGAGATACTGACAGAAGAGTGGGAGGGAATCAGGGAAAAGATGGCTTTAGTAGGCACAGGTTGGCAGTGAGGAACTCTGATGTCTGTGGTCCTGCATTTGTTACTATTAAATGCAGGATAAGGGTAAATATTTCATTTCTTTAGCTCTTACCCCCTTCCCCCTAAATCACTGTATCATCATGCCATCACCCCGAGTCCTCAGTGTGGGACAGGTGGCTGAAAGTCGTTGCTCTCTTCTTCCTCTTGACTATGTATGCTCCACTGTTTTGGATTTGCAAAGGGCAAGAGAAGAAAGATGGGATTATCAGGGTTCACTGGGAGGGGAAGCAGCAAAGTGCTTGTGAGCTGTGCCTGGCTCAGTAGTGAGAAGGTGGAATTAAGCCTCTAGAATCTTCTACCATGTGGCCTCATCCCATCCCCATGACTGACTCCCACCTTTCCACGCTCTGACCCGCTCTGACACTCAAATCTGTTCTGTGTGTACATTGCTCTTGCTGTTTCCCACACCTAAGCCTGGAAAAACAAACACCCATTTTCTCTACCTTTCTTGTACGTATGGGTGGCCCCGTATGTTAGTTCTGGCTCATAAACTACAAGTGGAACTCTGATGGAGAAACTCTTGGAAAACCTTTTGTTTCCTCATGCACCAGGACAGATGGGAAATGACATAGCCATTCCTTATTTTCTTCTTTTCCTGCTTCAACTGTGATGTGATGGCAGGAGCTGTGCCATTTTGCTATCCTGAGGGAAAGAGGAAGACAATTGCAGAGATGCCAACACTGGGCCACTAGACCTATCTCTGTATTTCTTGCTATGTGAGAAAAGGAAACCTTATGGGTTTAAATTGCTGTTGGTTACATTTTCTGTTATTTACAGTTTACTGCATTCCTAAATGGTATATCCCTGACCTAGATGAGGGTTATGTAATAGAGAGCAGAGCAGCGTGAGCCTCTTCTTAACCAAACTTATATCTAGTGTGAGACAGAAGAAAGAAAGTAAGTCCCCAAACTACACGTGGTAGCTTGTATTACAGAGAAAAACATGATGCTACACTGGAGAACTACCTGTGTTCTCTTGGAAATAAGACCTACCTGGAGAAAGCCTTGAGAACTAGAGATCAAAAATGCCAGCCCCAGCCAGTCTATCCTTGCCTTCCCTGCCTTGCAGAGTAGCCGCTGGGCAGCAGAACCGTGACAGCAGGCAAGGACAGGGGATGGAAGCTGGAATTTTTGTTCCAGTTTTCAAGTCTAATTATTTTTCCACCTAGGACTTATTTTCAGGGAAAGCTGCTAACAGCTAGGGCAAGGTCCTGGGGCAGACAAGGATGTAGTGTGTCCAAGGCTGGGGACAGTCAGGGAGACATCAGAAGGAAAACATGCTGAGCACTAGTTGGGGTGACCTCATAGGAGGCCCCACAGGTCGTGGAGTCTGAGTTGCAGTCTAAGAGCCAGATGGGAGTCTGAAGCAAAGATCTTTCTGCTGTTGTGTAGAAAATGGACCAAAGGGAGGGAGGAGTAGAAATCCGGAGATGGGGGGGAGAGGGGGGCTGGAGGAGCTCAGGGAGGGTGATGGGGCCGTGCCTGGGATGGCCTTTTCACACGTGCTGGTGCTGGTCGCTTCTCTCTGGTTTGCCAATATTTCTCCTTTGCTCTTGGCCATTTTAATCTTTGTCAATCTCTTTTTCGCTGCTCTTCTCTAAATATTGGGGTTCCTTTGAGATTTTACTTGGGGTTTTTTCCCTTATTCAATAGCCTTTTCTGGAGAATTCACAATCCATCTACTCTCTCTTTATATGACATGCAAACATAAATCTACCCATACTGCTGGCTGCCCCCAGGTGTCCTCACTGGAACGCTCTGCAGTCCTCCTTCCTGAACCCATTCTGGTCACTTTGTTTCCCACTGTGTTCCCTATCTCAAGTCTATCCACCCACTCATCTAAGCCAAAATTCTGGGCATTGTACTTGACCCTGTAAAAGGGGAAGATTGTCCCCTTACCTTTTTACCTTCCACAGGTCTTTGGGGTCTGCAAATTGACATGACAAAAAATTGATTCACAGGTGAAAAAGCATAAAATTTTATTTGATGTTAATCTTTTTTTATATGGCATGGGGGCTGCCTCATAGAAAGAAGCAATCGACCCCAGGCTAATATACCATTTTAACAACGAACAATACATTGTGGAGGCATGCTAAGACAAAGGGTAAAGGGGCTTGGAAAATTGTGGGAAAGTGACCAGGACACATACATGGCAAACTCACAAAAGGTAAGTGTTGCATTAGTAAGATTTTATAGACTCATCTCAGCATTGGCTCCTGTCTCTGGTGATAAAGATGTCCCCCGCACCCCAACACCCTGCTACTTTGTTGTACAAGGTGAGTAGTTTTCTCAGGGGAACTTTGCACCTTGATTTTTGGTAGGGAAGACCGGGGCAGAGAGGCCTTCTGTGTCTGCTAATTCTCAGCTGCCTTCAGCTGAAAATAATCAGTTTGCCAAAATGGCAAATTGAGGTGAGATGTTCTGATCCCCTCCAAACTTTCTCCCTCATATCACTTGCCATCAGTCACCAAGTCTTGGGGACCCCATCTTGCTCCAAACTGTTTACTCCTCTCCATCAACACTGCATTACCCTAGCTGAGGCGATCATCATCTTTTGCGTGCCATTATTATCAGTCAGCTTGCACCTAACCATACCCCTTCTCATGTTTTCCTCAGGATTTTCCTTCTAAAACATGGAGGCGGGTTCCTGCTCAAAGCTACTCATATGCTTTTAATTTTTCCTAGGAAAATATCCAAACCCTTCGGCATATCCTGAGGTCCCTGCAGCCACATATTTGTCTCGGTCCAAGTTCAGTGTGAGGCTGTGGGAACCCGGTCCTCCTCACATCTGTGGGGATTGTCACTGTCTCCCTAAGACAGTGTGTACACGGGGTGGGGTGGGGCTGGTGTCTGACTGGGGAATCTTCAGAATGGCCACAGCCTGGAGGGGAGTACGGATGGCAGCTCTCATTCCTGGTCTGGGAGGGAGCTCACTCCAGCTGCCTGAGCCCTGGTGGTGAAGACTACAGCTGGTTTCTTCACTATGAAGCACTTTCCAGAGCCATCACTGCTCCCCAAGTTTTTCCGGGAGAATCACTGCCACTGGCCCAGGGGGTGCTGTTGACAGGCCAGGCCATGTATACCCGTGAAGATCAGGGCACCCTCTGCCTGCCCTGGGATCCAGGGAGCTCACTCACCCCCAAGCTCTGCTCCAGCTCCGCTCTCCCTTCTTCTCCCACACAGCCTGCCTCTTGCCCTCTCTGCAGGCCAAACTGCATGTCGCTTGTCTCATTTCTGTCCTCTTTCTGATCTCACCTCACCAAACTGAATAAATCCTCCCGGCAAATATTCTGCCTGTGGGGTTGTTTGTGATTTTTCTCTTACGCCTGCTTTTTCTGACTCCTGGAACTCTCCATGGACCACAGCTGGGAATGTGATCATCACCTCCTTCTGGCCCTGGATGCACTAAGTGAGTCACAGTCAATGTCAGTAGGGAGTCGGTCAAGGCTGTGGTGCACCCTTCTTGCCTGGGGCCTTTGGGTTTAAGCTTGCAAGGATTTTGGAACTCTCAACCAGATTCCTGCTGTGGTGACCGATGTCAACAGCACCAACAAGTACATCATCTGAGAGACCCTAAGGCAGCAGTGGCGAACCTGTGGCACACATGCTACTGTGTGCTGTGTATATTATTCAAAGCTCTGAAAAGTTCGCTGCCCTAGGGCCTTGGAAATAATTAGGATTTTTCTCAGGCGTTTAAGTCAAAGATTTTTATTTTTGGTTTCTTTTAGACAGACCTTTTATAAGAATCACAGACGGAAGACTCCATAAATCACCTAACTTTGCACTAACAAAAATACAAATTTGATCGTTTAAAAAAACCAGTTTTCAGTGACCCAGTTGGGTGAGAAAAATACTGCTGGGGTTTTTTTCTGATCTATCACAGAAGTTTCTAAATCAATGAGAATGAAGCTGCCTACTTGGCTGTATTATTTCCCAGGAGAAAAAGACCTTCAGAGTATGCGACATGTTTAGTTCAGAAAACCCAGCAGTGATGGACTAGGAACGCTGGAACTTGAGAAGTCCTGTCTCCTGGCTGACCCTGTGTGAGGGGACACTGAGGCTCACTTCTGGGAGGCTCTGGGCTCCGTGAGTCACTCATGTCTTCACCAGCCAGACTTCATTGCGACGTCCATATGGCTTCATGGGAGGGTCGTATCCAGTGCAGAAGTAGAGGTCGCTCCGGTAGGTGGCTGTTCCCTCCAGGGCAGCACGAAGCTGCCTGGCCTGAGTTACATAGTCCGCTTCCTTGGCGTAGCCACCGAACTGCCTGAGGAGACAAGAGCAGGGGCTGATGAGGAAAGACACGGCCTCGGAGAGATGGGGGAGTCTTTGAAAGAAGTCATCACCATACTGATTACCACAAGCACGCTAGAGTGGCAAGACTGTGGACTCGCCACATCCTAGGTGGGTGGTCCTGACCTCAGTTTCCACAGCTGTAAAAAAAACGCCCTATATTTTCTTTATACTACAGAGTACTGAAATAAGAGAAGTGAAAATTATAATCATTACAGGGCTGAAACACAATGGTCACATCGTAAATGTGAGTTTCCCTTATCTACAATTTCCCAAAGAGATGGCAGGCTGTTCCCGGGGCCACCGTATGGCCCCAGTGTTTTCTCTTAACTCTTTCTACTGCCCACTTACTCCTCTCGGCCTCTGTCACCAGCAGGAAAGAGGGACAAGCAGGGTGGAGCTCCTGCTCTAAGGGTAGGTGCCACTGTTTCCCCCCAGCAGAGCAGCTGTAACAACTGCACTCCCCCAGAAAGGACGTGTGGCAGCGTCATGGAATCAGAGCTAATAAAGGCAACGACCTAAGAAGTCTTAGGAGGGACCCCACACAATCTTTATGTAGCCCCAAATAATCTCCTAATATATCCCTTGCCCTGCCCAAATTTGTTTTATGGCTTTTGGGTTTTTTTCACCTTTTTGAGACAGGATTTCACTATGCAGTTCAAGCTGCCCTGAACTCACTTCACAGCTCAGGCTGGCCTCCAAACTCGTGGCAATCCTCCTGCCTCAGCCTCCAGAGTGCTGGGATTACAGGTGAGTGCCACCACACCTGGCTTTCCTGCTCAAATCATGAATGTTTTTCCGAGTGAGAAGGAGACTAAATTAGATAATTCTCCTGTTGGCAGAGGTGAGGGAAAGAGAAGCCGTAAAATCTTTCTTTTGGAGATAATTATTTCCCTTGAGTCATCTGCCTTTGCACCAGAAGTCATCCTGTAGCCTAAATATACCACTCTAAATCTGGGTTGCACTAAAAATCTTTATTAGAGTCAAATACACCCGTGTTTCCAACAAGCTTTATGACTCAAAAGTCTGAACTCGCACCAGGCCAAGATGAGGCCAAATAGTGCATTGTTTTTCTGTGGTGCTCTCTGAATCATGCTTTGCTCTTTTGCGAGTGGTTAGTCACACTCTGTACGCACTCAGCACACTGATTACGGGGTCCCTGATGTGAAAACACCCAGGGTTTCATCTGCGAAGAAGTGGCTAGGCTAATGACCTCCAGGTCATAGCTATGGATCAGGCAATGAGGCTGACACCAGTTTCAAACAGCAGGGGCTAGCTCTTCAAATGTCTGGAAAAGACTGTAGGGCAGCTGAAGAGAGCCGAACTCTGGCTTCCTTGAGGCTCAGGTAGAGGGAACATAGGGTTAGCAGACAGAGGGCGAGAAGATCCAGGGTGGGTTTTTCTGCAAACCACCTGTTGGAAGTCAATCAGATGCTGGACATGGGAACAAATGTCGAGGGTTTTCCGCAGCCCCTACTTACGTTGTGACACTGAACTATTCTCAGTGACAAGGGACAGTGCTAGCCAGCTCGTTCAGCTACTGATTTTGGAAAGGCCCAAAGGAGTGGTCCTTGAGTATCATCAAGTAGCAGTCGGAGGCATAACGGGTGGTGTGTGTGCTCAAATCTTCACTCTGTTACTTTCTAGCTCATGGTGTTGGGAAAATTCTTTAATTCCTGGAATCTTTGGGCCACTGGTTTTGTTTATAGGAATGATAACAAGGCATCAATCTCAGATGGCCATGGAAAAGATCAAAGGAGACAAGACAGGGAACTGCTTAGCTAAGTGCCGGTCACATAGTGAACTCACAGCACACAGGAGCTGTTACTGTTACAGTCACCCCTTGGTGTCATGGGCACTGGTTCCAAGAACCTCTCCACCCACACAGGATGCCGACATTCATAGATGCTCCAGTCCTTTATACAAGATGGCACAGTATTTGCATATATCCAATGCATATCCTCCTGTATATTTTAAATATTTTCTAAAGCAGTGTGTGATGGTATAGAAAGGTAACCTTAGCAATCTAGGAGGCTGAGGCAGGAGGATTGATTGCAAGTTTGACCCCTGCCTGGGAAATTTAGTGACTTAGCAAGATCCTGTCTCCAAATAAGAAGTAGAAAGAGGGCTGGGGATACAGATCAGTGGGAGGCCCTGGGTTCAATCCTGTGTACAGCCCACCTTGTCTCTAGACTACTTGTAATGCTTACTTCACTGTAAATACTACGTAAATAGTTGCTATGCTGTACTGTTCAAGAATCCATGGCAAAAGTCTTATCAATACACATGTGATTTTCCCCCCAACATTTTGATATGCAGTTGACTGATTCACAGGTGCTGAGTTAGCTCACAGGGAGGGTCTACCGTGCTTGGCAGTTCTCTCATAAGAAATTTTTTTACTCTCTTTCAGACAGTGTCTCAATATGCAGTTCAGCTGGCCTTGAGCTCACTTTGCAGCTAGGCTGTCTCCAACTTTCAACAATTCTCCTGCCTCAGCCTCCCAAATGCAGGGATTACAGGCGTGTGCCACCATGCTTGGCTTTCTCACAAGACTTTCAATTCTCTGACTCCCACGATTAGGGACAGGGTGGTACTCTAAAGTCGCATCCCGAAATGGCAGAATAAACAATTCCCTCTTTCTTAATTAGGCCTACTCTCATAACACTGCAGCCCCATTTTCTTCCCTCTCTGTTCTCTTTCTCTTGCTCTCCTTCCTTTTTTCCAGCACACGTACTACATAGCTCGTGTGTTATGTGCTCTGTTGACCAGCTTTCTGTCACCAGAACAGAATCCCTGAGGTTATGAACTTAGAAAGAGAGGCTGACTTGGCTGTGGTTTTGGAAGTTTCAGGCCTCCAGTGGGGATGCTGGATGGCACTGGCGGAGCACACTGCTTGCCTCAGAGCAGAAACAAGTGGTGCTGTTGCCCTGCGGTCCCGGTTGGGGTACAAACCCAGTGACCTGAGGACCTCTCACCCCCTCTCAGTAGCGCCACCCAGGGGACAAAGACTCTAACTTGCAGGGCTTGGGAAACATTGGAGATCCCAGCTGCATTGCTGTGGTGGACAGCCTGTGTCCCCTGGGAGAACAGGAGCTCTATGATGGCACCATCTGTATCATTTCTTTGCCCACTGATGTATCCTGCACACTGAGCACAGTACTTGATATATATGAGGCCCCTTGGCTGAATAAACGAGGCTGAGATAATAAAGTGACTGCCCTCAGGTTACCAGCACCCACTAGTGAGGTAAGTGTTTAACTTCTCCATTGCTCCTGTAGTCTGTTTCTCTCCCTCTTTCATATAATAAACCCCTGAGCATATACAAAGAGGCCAGCAGGGGTGGGGAGGTAAAAGTGAATCAAATGAAGCCAGACAGAGATGAGCCTTGAAAGCTACGCCAGGGAGTCTTCAAACTACGGGAGGGTTTTATAGTAGGAGACAGACAAGATGGGCCTGCTTCAGAAAGATGCCCAGGGGTAGCGGAGGGACGGTGGCAGTGGCAGGGAGTCAGTGAGGGCTGGGAACAGGCGGGGAGAGGCTGTGGATGTGGCGGGGAGGAGAGAACAGGGGAAGCCATGGAGTGATGTGGGAAGCAGATGCCCCTACATAGACCAGAGACAGAGGGCTGACAGGTAACTCTGGAGAGCTGGGCTTGGGCTGGAGGTGCCAGTAACCTGGTCTGGGGCATGCTGATATCAAGGCACTTCTGTGAGAGTCACTCGTGTGACATCTGCTAATTCAGCACTGGATGTGTGCCTGACACTGTACAACTCTCCTTAGCCTTGGAAAAGAAATGGAGTCAGAGATAAAGCCATAGACTTGGTGACAGGGTGTGGGCGTCCCACTGAGTAGCTGCTGGCTAGAGTCATGGTGAGGAGTGAGGTGAGGTACAGAAGGATAAAGCTGGGAATCCTAATACCTGAGAGGTAGCCCTGGCAGGGGACACTGAGCAGGGCTGTCTGAGAAGCAGGAGATCCATCAGAGTGACTGGGAGGAAGCCATCACTCAGGGATTTGTAAAATTCAGTAATAGAAAGCCGTCATTTCACTGGGCATGGTGGCCATGCCTGTAATCCCAGTTACCTGGGAGGTTGAGGCAGGAGGATAGCTAAGTTAGAGGCCAGTCTGGGTAATTCAGTGAGACCCTGTCTCAAAAAAAAAAAAAATAAATAAAATAAAAAAATAAAAAGGGCTGGGAATGTAGATTAGAGGGCTAGAGTGCTTGCCTAGCATGCATTAGCCTCTGGCTCAATCCTTCGAAACTGCATAAGAAAAAAACCAAACCAAAACAAAACAAAAAACAGAAGAAAGAAAACCTCCAATATGGTATATTAACTCCCAGGCAGTCTAAGATGCTTGTAATGAAGACAAACATCTTCCTATTGCTTCATCCTGGAAGTGTTTTACCAGGAAACAAATGACGCTGGGAGAATTATGGAAACAGACACGTGGACATCTTTGCTGCTCAGTTAAGTAACTCACTCCAACCCCAATCACAGAACCACACGAATAAGCAGAAAACCGAATGTGAGCAGGAACACAGCCCTCAGGCAGGGAGGCGCAGGGTGACTCAGCCTGTCATGCTGAGCTCCCCATTCCTCCCTGCCTCGGCCTCTGGTCCCCACTGGGAGGAGAACTCATGGGATCTCTGGCCCCCCAACTCCTGAGCCCATTTGAGTGAGTTCAGGAATGCTCATAAAATGTTCTGTGCCCCTACTAGGAAGTGAATATATTCTCTTGTGGTTATTTTCCTAAGCCTGTTAATAAGGTTCAAACTTCCATCTTGAAAGAAGTCTTTCTCCAGGTGACTGCAGTTTCTCTCATCCAATCTCCCAGCAAACTTGGTTGTTATGGGAACAGAGGTACACACACACACACACACACACACACACACACACAGAGGGGCTGACTCAAAACAGCTGGGAGAGTTTGAAAGTGGCAGTGGGGGTGGTGAGATGATGCAGGCATTACTGCA